CGAGCCCCTCCGCGGCCTCACCCTGGCCTCGCCTCCTCAGCTGCCTGGCCGGTGCTCTGAAAGCTGCCTCGAATGCTTTGTGGAACAAGACAGAAGAATGAGTGGACAGATAAATGGATAGATGGACAGGTGATAAGTGGGCAGATGGACAGAGAGACTCCAAGAGAAGGGAACGAAGGAAATTTCCTATGTCAAAACCTGTTCCAGTCAGGGAAGAAAGAACCACAGGGAGAACTGTGAAGAGGCAGGTAGCCGAGGATTTTGTTTCCTGCAGATTTTGTGAAAATCACAGCAAGAGATGAGAGTGCAGAACTATAAATAATAAAAGAAAAGGGCATGCTTGGAAAAGATATCAAAAATATATACTCTTTAAAGAACAGATTCCAATCAGCAGGCCCGCTGCACAGTGCTTGGGTGCTTACCCAGTCGAGGGTTCTGCAAGTACAAGGGATTATAACGGGGAGCCAGAACCTGGGCTAATTCCTCATGTGTTCATTCACAACCCACAGCAACTCCATGAGGGAGGAGTTCCTAGTGTGCCCCTTTCTGCAGGTGAGAAATCAGACCCGAGAGAAGTAAAGTCTTCCGACTGATTCTCAAGATTACAGAGGGTTCGAACAGGGGCCCATGTCTTTAACCACTGCACCAACGTGCTCTGTGTGTTCTTGTGTCTGACACATTTGTTCCTGCCATGAAATAATATTTAATAAATGCTAGGTCACCTTGATTTATCTCAGTAGTTCTAACAATTTATATTGTTGAATTTAACTGTTTTCCTTTGGAGAAAAGAAGGGATAGATAATGGGGGTAAGGATGAGGGGGTGCTTCATTCTTCATACGTACTTCATCTCATCCCAACAACACACAATCAAGATTAATCACCTACGGGGGGGCGGTGGGAATGAGGTGGAAGAGATAACAGAAGAGTGACACTTCTCTCAGTAGACCTTTTGTATAGTTTTGACTTTTGGAAACATGTTTATGTTCTCTATGTAGTAAAAATATCAATCAATGAATACAGGGGGATCCTATACGCATACAAACAACAGCCATTAACTATATTTCAAATAGATAGCATAATCACACCCAGAAGGAGGGTTAAAGAACAAATCCAAGTAACTTCTGATTGCAAGACCTTGTATATCTGTCCTCAGTATAAAGACAAAAGGAACCACAGACAATCCTGAATTCTACTTAGATGTTTGTTTTTACAGTGATACCAATTAGCAATTCTGAAACTACTTTGTATATATTGTATGACTGAGAAAATTAGTAAATATATTGATAATCTCAGGAGCCAGATGTCTCACTATTGAAGAAGGAAGATGTATATATAAAACAGGAAGACTGGAAAGAGCCCTGGGAACTGCAGATATGGGCAAGAACTCTAGGTAACAGTATGAACTCCTCAAAGGGCCTAGAAGCGATGAACCTCAGTAGCAATAAGCACTTTAGTGCCCAGATTTTGGTTTCTAAATACCATTCTCCAACAAAACGAACTAGAACACCTTAGACAAACATCTGATTTCAGAGCTGGGACAGGGAAAGTACAAAATGAAACTAAATGTCTTGACCCAGAAAAACAGTAAGTAGACCTAGCAGACACCCACAGAGCCTCCACCCAGCAACAGCAGAGCACACTCTTCTCTCAGGCAGACAGGGAACATTATCCAGGATAGAGCACATCCTAGATTATAAAACATATCTCAATAAATTTAAATGAACTGAAAAAATCAACAAAATACTAGAAAACTAAATCCAGCAGCATATAAGAGGACTGTACAACATGACCAAGTGGTATTTATCTCAAGAATGTAAGGATGAGTTAAGATGCAAAAATCAATTACTATGATACACTATATCAGTTGGCTAAGGGGCAAAACTGCACTAGACACAGTGATGAATTTTGAAATAGAATTCTAAAGTTAGAACATAGTTGAAAACTATAAAAAGGCTCTGAAAAACAGGTATTGATAGATGATTGATTGATAGATAGATAGATAGATAGATGATAGATGATATATATAGATGATAGATAGATAGATAGATAGATAGATAGATAGATAGATAGATGATAGGAAATAGGAAGCCTGCCCCCAGGTCATATAAATACAAACTTATTTTTGTTTCCTGACAGGTACCAATTACTTTAACCAAGGCAGAATATTTTAATTAAGACAAATAATATTATACTACTCTTGTCAAAGCCAGTTAATGAATTTACCCTGCTATGAAACCATAACATGTCTAAGATCTAAAATTAGCAGGAATACCTTTATACAGTTTTGGGAACTCTTCTCAAAATTCCAGTCTTTTTAAACAGATCTGAGATACATTTCTATATTGCCTTTCCCTTATGAAACGAACAGTAGATACGGCTGTCGAATTCTCTCACGACAGACAATGATTCGTGGGCACCCTGCTCTAGCTGTTCTGCTGGACAACGAGGCACTATCCAGACAGTATGAGCAAACAAGTGAAATCTAAGGAAGACAGTGACCCTGTTCTGGAAGGCTTGCGATCTATGTCAGCATGGACGTTGTTTATTTCATTGGTTAGCAAAATGAAATTAATCAAATACTTTCTCTGAACAGTCTGTATTCATGATTCTACTTTTAGTGTAAGGACCAGAGAAGGTTTAAGTGTGACTCTGTTGGGTCAACTGGCAACAAACATCCCTGGAGGGTAATGCAAACATTAACTGACGGCAATGCTTCCACCTACATTCGACCTAAATAAATCTAGACCTAAGTCTGTAAAGTAAATGAAGAGATGAGGACCCCGATTAGAAAAAGACCTAGTAAGAAATCAAATAGGCAAAGAGTTTTTAACAAATAATTCCTATAAAAGAACCAGAATATGGTGGCTAAGAGGACAGATGCTGGAGACAAGCTCCTGGGTTTGAATTCCCATGTCACCACTTACTCACCATGACCCTGAACAAATCAAGAAGCTTCTCTGCATCTCAGCTCCTCACACACAGACTGGCTGAGTTTACTCGTGGACTAGGGAGAGCAACGGCCCCGCTCGCAGAGCTGCAAAGGGTTCGAATGCTTTACATGAAAAGCTGATATGAAACACCTTGAGCTTAGATATGACACCAAAAGCACCAGCAGCAGAGAAAACACAGATAGCCCGGACTTCATCAAAATGCAAAACTTCTGTGCTTCAAAGGGCACCGCCAAGAAAGTGAAAGACAACTCAGGCAGGAGAACATTTTTGCAAACCACATATCTGATGAAGGACTCATATCTAGAATATAAAAAGAGCTCTCATAACTCAATAATAATAAGACAAATAACTCGAAAATGGATAAAGGATCTGAATTGACATTTTTCTAAAGGAAGTATACAAATGGTCAACATGCACAATGAAAAGATGCTCATTAGCTACAAGGGAAATGCAAACCGGAACCACAGGAGGCAGCACTTCACACTCGGCAGGGCAGGATGGCCAGAATCAAAGCGACAGTCACAGTGCCAGGAGGACGCGGAGAAACGGGCCCTCACACGCAGCTGCTGATGATGTACAATGGTGCAGCCACTTTGGAAAACAGTCTGGCCGCTCCTCAAAAAGTTTAACATGGAGTTACCAAGTGACCCAGAAATTTCACTTCCTAGGCATACACATAAGAGAACTGAAAACACATATCCACACAAAAACTTGTACAGGAATGTTCACAGTGCCATTACTCATAATAGCCAAACAACAGAAGCCACCCAAATGTCCATCAGCTGACGAAAGGGTATACAACATGTGGTCCAGCCACACAGTGGAATATTATTCAGCAATAAAAAAGTATAATACAGGCTACACTATGGGTGAGTCTTGCAAACATTACATTAAGTGAAAGCAGCCTGTCACAAAAGGTCACATGTTCCATGATTCCATTTACATGAAAAGTCC